ACCTTAAAGTGGAACCACTGACAGTGAGATTTGCATAAAATACTCTTACCAAATCTGGTTGAATGTTGCCAGTATATTCCAGAAAATTCTTCAGTTTTTGATTCTTCAGTTTCCTTCTTAACGAAGTGAACCCTTCTTCATCTAGCCAAGCAAACCTTATGAATTTTGGAATTACAAGTTGTTTTTGACTGAAATGAGTGATGAAATTATTCATCTTATCTATATCACCACTGAACCAATTTTCAAGATGACCTCCTTGATTTCCAGCAGAGGAAGACTCTCCCTTTTGTTTCTTCCTTGATTTTGATCTTTTGAACATGTTTGCAGCAGAGATTCGAGAGGAGATTTTGAAAATATGAAAACAGAAGAAAGATGATAAGTTGAGAAATGTGAATACACGAAAGAAGAGAGAAGGAATTTGAACTAGAAACTGATGAATGAGAATAATGGACTTCAAATGAGCAGAATGAAGAGTCACAGATGTAAATTTTGTGAATTGCAGTCCAATTTGACAGAACCTGCAAAAAATAGCTTTAATTGCATATGTCCCCTTGACTGAAGGCAGAGGCGCAGGTTTCTGGACAATAGGTACCTCAGCTATTTTGTTCTTTGATAAAATTTTTGACTTGGTCAACAGATGCAATAAATGTATTATGCAAATTTTGATTAACATAAAAACTTGGATTTTTGACTCTGATTTGCTGACCAATTTTCAATTGGATGTTGTAAAAACGATTTTCAGGAACAGAATAATCGATTAATCAACAAATTAACCTATTAATTTGATTTTTAATACTAGGTTTGAAAATGCTACAGTGAAATAATCGATTAATACATAAAAGAATCGATTAATTTTGTACTGGATGAAATCAATAATGTGATACCAGAATTATAATCGATTAGAACGAAGAAGAATCGATTGAATTTGACCTCTTAATGGTTTTAACTGATATAAATCCTTTTTAATCGATTAAAACAGCTAAACTAAAAATCCTAAGAACATTTTAATCGATTAATTCGTATTTCAATCAATTAAAACTGTACGGACAAATATTCCGGTATTCTCTGTAAGTGATTTTAACCGATTAAAATAGTTTTATATCAATTAAAATACTCAATCTATGAAACCAGAACCGTATTTGCTGTTTTGAACATCAAGGGACTTCCAGATTTTGTTCCTGCAAAATAGATTTAACATATCTCTGGTACCCTTTTTATAATTACTGGGTCCAATCAGGTTATTTGAAATAAATTTTTAGGAATCCACTTCATTCTTCCTCTAGGAATAGCATACTCCTTAATTCTACAATATTTTACAGAATGACCTTTTTTCATGCAGTAAAAGCATTTAATCATAGATGATGAGTATGATTTCCTGTTTACATTTTTTCTGAATTTCATCCTTGATTTAAATCCTATGCCAGATTTGTCAAAAATCAGTTTTTGTGACCCAAGAAGAACATCAAGATTAGATTGACCTTGTGTAAACTTTGAAACAGTTTGTGATAAAAAATCAATCTTCTTTTGTAATTCTAAACAATTATTACATGGTTTATTACATACACAATCAAAATTATCATGGATTAATTTTAAAAAATCAAGATCAGTTTCATCTTCAAGAATTTTCTTTTCAAGAGAATCTACTTTATTTACTAGCCAATTATTCATGCCTTTTAGCCTATCATTTTATTTTTGCAGTTTCTTAGCTTCTTCATGCATTTTATTAAATGCTTCTTGTAATGAATTATAATTCACCAAATTTGAAGAAGAGTTAGAACTTACACTGCTGGTTTGATGATTTTGATTTGCCATTAAACACAAGTTAGCTTCTTCATTATCAGAATTTTTTGTTGATGAAGTATCATTATCATCCCATGCTACATATGCTCTTCTTTTGACTTTTTCCTCTTTCTTGTCATTATATTTGTTCTTTTCTGGGCACTCCATTCTTACATGACCCTGCTTACCACAACCATAACATTTATAGTTAAAAGAATCAGATTTTTTCTCATACCTTTTGTGTTTTTCTTTATCTTGAATCTTTTTCTTGAGAAATTTGTTGAACTTTCTGACAAGCAGACCAAGATTTTCACTTTCCTCCTCTAATTATTGACTTCTTTCTTCAACCTTGAGTGCTATACTTCTACCTTTCTTCTCAGAGACTTCTTGCTCATTAAATCTGTTAATTTCCATTTCATGTTCTTTGAGTTTGCCAAACAAGGAAGCTGTTGTCATGACGAATAAGTCTTTTGATTCTGAGATTGCTGTGACCTTGGGCTGCCATGACCTGTCAAAACATTTCAAAACTTTAATATTTAATTCTTCTTTATCAAAAGTTTTACCTAAGCCCATTAGATGGTTGATGATATGAGTGAAGCGCTTCTGCACATCTGCAATACTTTCTCCAGTTTGCATTTTAAACAACTCATATTATCTTATGAGAGTATGTTTTCTGGCTCTCTTTACATCAGCTGTTCCCTCATGAGTAACCTCAAGAACTTCTCACATTTCCTTGGCAGATTTGCATTGGGAGACCTTGAAAAACTCATCCATATTTAGTGCAGAAGTAATTATGTTTTTAGCAGTACAATCACTTTGAACTTTTTTCTTTTCTTCATCATTTAAACTAGACCATTCTTTTTCTGTAATTAATGGACCATTAGCAATTACATCCCAAACATTTCTATCAATAGATTCAATAAAGATCTTCATCCTAATCTTCCAAAATGGATAATCTGTTCCACAAAATAGTGGAGGTCTATTAATAAAAGCCCCCTCAGAAAAAGGTAATTTGTTTTCAGCCATTAAAAATTTGGACCGAAAGCCTTGAGTATTTTTCAAGACCCTTGCTCTTGATACCAATTGTTAGAAATTTAGGCTGAGATCAAGAGGGGGAGTGAATTGATCTTTGAAAGTTTTTCGCAATTAACAGATTATCTATTTCAAAGATTAAGAAATCTGACCAATTCTTGAATCACACACAACAAGCAATAAAAAATAAATGCAGTCACAGAATTAAAGAAGAGAAAGATTTAGAAAGATATAACCAAGGTTTATACTGGTTCACCCAATCCCAGGGCTATGTCCAGTCTCCAGCCAAATTCCAGCTGGGTTCCACTAGATTGAATGTTTTACAGATTACAACCTTAATCCCACACTCAATCTACCACAAGAACCACAATTCCATTTCCTGCACCTAAACCTTCACCAAGAACCAAATTCCAGTTCTTGACCAACCCTGCAGCCAAATTCCAGCTATAGAAACTAGTGCCCACAATTCCAGGAACCCACAATACAGTAAAAGAAAGTAAAGAAACAAGTAGAAGAAACTAAGAACGCTCAAACCAGTTTTATGCAGTTCTGCAGTATGTGTTTCTTCTAAAAAAGAATGCAATTTTGCCTCAAGAAAGAACTTTAATGAACTTCACAAAAACTAGCGTGATTCTCTCTTGAAAGTAGCACTTATGATTGCTTGTTTGATTGCTAAAAGATGTTGTATAAAAAGTTCAAGCAAGTCTGTTTATATAGAAGATTTTCAAAACTGCTGGTTTAATTAATCTGTTAAAATAATCTTTTAATCTGTTAAAAGTCTTGTTTTAATCTGTTAAAACTTCTTTTAATCTATTAAAATGTTCTTGATTATTTTCCAGATTTGTTTTAACTGATACGACAACGTTTATATCAATTAAAACTCTTTGTAAAAAATCTTCCAAACTGTTTTAATCGATTGTTTCATCTTTCAATCGATTAAAATACTGCAAAACATTCTTATAAAATTTTCCAAGTGATTTTAACTGATAAAAATCTATTTTAATCGATTAAAACGTTTAGCAGAAATTCTCTTAAGTTGTTTTAATCGATTGAAACGCAGTTTAATCGATTAAAAGAATTCTGATCGATCAAAAACCCATTCTGATCGATCATATGCTGGTTCTGATCGATCATAAACCCATTCTGATCGGTCATCTGTTACTCCAAGTGGTTTTAATCGATTATTTCGAAGTTATATCGATTAAAATACTACCAGAACACTTCCCTGAACATTTTAAGTGATTTTAATCGGTTATTTCGAAACTATATCAGTTAAAACACTGACAGAAGGTTTTCAAAAATTCCTTTAATGAAAACAATCGATTATTTCGAAAACCTATCAGTTAAAAAACAGTTACAAAAGTGTTAAGAACATTTTAGTTGATAAAGCTCATAAGCTATTAGTTAAAATAGTTGATTAAAAACTTTTTAACAAAATACTTTGTTTTTAACCGTTTAAACTCTTTTTAGAGGCATTTGCAAAATCTTTTAAATGAAGAAACCCCATGCAGCAAAAAGATAAAAATGATTATACCTAAGCAAAAGATGCAGACTCACTAATCCCTCTACTCTTTTATCTAAGTGACCTTTGACTGCCACAAAGTAGTCTTTGACTTCATTTTTGTCTTCATCAAATCAACAAGATCTTTGCCAAAGTAATTCAATAAGATCTTCATCACTTTCAGTTGACTTGAATCATCATCAAAATCAACTCTTGAGAATGTAGGGACATGTTTCACATTGCCATCAATCTCCCTCTTATTGCTTTCAAGGTGTGTTTGTATCCATCAATTTGAAGAGAAGTGCAAGGACAAATTTGAGGGAGAGTGAGGATGAAAGCCCCCACGTATATGAGGAGAAGAGCGAAGAAATACAGGGGAGAAGGATGCAATTACCATGTTACCCTCATCTCATGCGGAATTCCACAATAATTACAAAGTTACCCTCGTCTCATGCAGAATCCGAAAACAATTGCAAATAGTTGTTCATGATGCTCTGAATACATATAGTGAATCCTTTAGTGATTGTGCATGCATCCCTTTCGTGGTAGGGAATCCTAGACCCTCAAGCACATGTGTCACATGCATCTAAAATCGTCATCCCAACTTGAGAGTCGTCATTAAATATAGGAGAGGAGTGGTCATGTGTTGTTAGACGTTCATGTGCAAGGGTGAGTTCGTGGTGGTAGTATGGTGTGTGTGGTGTGCATTGGCATGGAGAGTGGCTGATAGTGGCTGAGAGAGGCTTGTGGGTGAAAGAACTGATTCTCGATCCATATAGAATTGATTATCTAAGTCATGATGAAACGAAAATCCATTATTGCTTTGTTTGAATGCATAGAGAATCAATTTTCACTTCCTTTGAATGCATGAAGAATCGATTCTCTGTTAAATCAGAATCGATTATCGACCTTCACTCATCACATAATCGATCCTCGTGGGCAATAATTGATTCTCCCTCAAGAAGAATTTATTCTCGACCACGTTTTACATGGACAAGAATCGATTTTCGCATGTGCATGATGATCTATTGGAACAAAGGATTCATGTTTGTTGCATTGTATTGTAGGTTGTATGTGGAACTTGGTGCCTCGTGGTTCTCCTCCGTTGTGTGGTCGTCGAGCTGTGGTGGTGCTACTATGGTGTTTGTGTACTCATGCTGATGCTTCTCCATAGTGTTGATCGTCGAGGTGAGTTAAGGGTGGTGTTGGTGTTGGTCCGTAGTGTTGGTGTTGTTGATTTGTGTTGGTTCATGGTGTTGTTCCACGTGTTGGTGGCGTTGATGATGAGTTGGGTGGTGGCAGTGGTGGGTGGTGCTAGTACTTTGGTGAGTTGTGTCGTGTGATGTTAGTGGCACTAATGGTGAGTTGGGTGGTGGTACTCTTATTGTTGGTGGGTGGTGTTGTCGTGAGTTGTTCCAGGTGGTGTGGGTCGATTTCTAGTGAGTTGGGTGGTGTTCATGTTGTGGTGAGTTGTTTCGCATGTTGTGGTAAGTTGGGTGGTGCTGGTGGGTGTTGCTAATGAATTATTTTGCATGTTATGGTATTGGTGGCGTTATTGGTGCTGGTACTGTGGTGAGGTGTTTCGGATGTTATGTGGTTGACTTCAATAGATAAGTTTCTTATTCTTGAGTTAATTAGTTTAAATTTGTATGATTATGATTTGATTTTGAGTTAATTATTATTAGATTTGTATGATTATGATTTAATAGATGTGTGTTAAAAAAATTATAAGGAGATAACAAAATTTTGTATTAAGATTAGAAAAATTTGTATTAAGATTAGCATTAATTTAATATTATATTATTTAAATTAGAATTATAATTTGAATTATAAAATATTATATTAAGTGTTTTAAAATTAATAATAAGTTTTTAATTGATAAGATCTATTTTTTAAAAAAGTTGTAAAATGATACATGAGAACGATTGGTCATACTTTTTTTACTAATAAAAATATTGATAATGATGTTTTTGAGAGGTATTTTAATAATTCAATACTTATAACAACAAATAAAACCTAGTAGTAGTGACTATTTTTTGCATTCTTGTTTTTTCATAATTGATCTCGATATTGCATCTTTTTTTAACAAATTATTATTACTTCAATTTAAATTAACTTTATATTTAATTTAAAAAAAAATTATTAATTAAAATTACACTTTTATTTTATTTAAAGAAATTATGTAAAATTTATTCCAAATTAATTTCTAACAATTGTATTTTATTATAAATTCATAAATTTAAACTTTTATATTTTAAATAATCTATCGTATCTAATTTTAATATCATTTGTATAAGTTATATATTATTCTAAAATCAAGGATAAAATTGTAATCTTACAATTTCATTCATTAAATATAATTTTGTAATCTATCAAATCAATTACATCACCCATAAACTTTCATCTCATTTTCCTTAGTTCAAACAACCCTAATTTCACATCTTTTTTCCTTAAAATCTACTTATTTTCACACTATCAACTTCATCTTCAAATCCAAACACACACTTGGAGTGGAAAAAGAGATGAAATTGTGGTTGTGTACATTAAGGGAAAAATAAGAGGAGTGGAAAAATGAAAGGAAAATTTATGAAAGAATGTGAGTAATTTGTTTGATATAAATGAAAAAAAATATATTTTAAAATAAAAAAAATAAAATGACCACTATACCCTCTTATGATAATAATAATAATTATTATTTAAAATATTATAATTATTTATTTATTTTATTTTTAATTATTAATATAATAATTATTTTATTAATAAAATTATTATTATAAACATAATTATTATTATTTACAATATTATAATTATTTTAATATTTTAATATTTTAATTTTAATTATTAATATGATTATTTTATTATTATTATTATTATTATTATTATTTATTATTAATAAATATTGTGAGAATTGGTTGTTATATTTAATAATAACAATAGAATCAGACTATATTATTATTAAATATAAGAATTGTTTATCATGTTTTATAATAACAGAGAATCAAATTTTATTTCACTTGTTATCAAGAATGTTCTCTTCGATTTCTTTGGTTGTTTTTTATGAAATAGTACTGCGAACTAGTGCTTATTATCTACGAATTGTTCCATGGATCTCATGAGCTATGTTTGATGTTTCTTGGGACTTTTTTTATGATTGTAAAGTCACTGGATGAATTACCGAATAAATAGATTAGATATGGACGCAATTGTTGCTTCGCGACGATACGACCTCAACCTGCTCCGACCTACCCCAAGGCACCATAACATGTCAAAAATAAGGGGGACATACTAGACATAACCACTCTTTTAGGAGCAGTTATGCCGCCCTGCCTTTCAATAGATATACGGTTGAGTAGATCGATCACGAATGCTAAAGAGAGAATCAATTTTCACTTCATTATGTCTACCGAAAATTGATTCTCTCATTAGAGGATAATCGATTCTCTTTTATTGAGAATTGATTATCTATAACTACAATTTGTTTTTAACCATGCATGTTGCCTCTCCTTTTACACTTATCTCTTAGAGGCACATCCCAATAACATAGAACAATAACATTAACAAAAAACTCTGCTACAAAAGAATTTTGCATGCATGCACCTCTGTCATCCAAATAGTAAAAATTGAAAAGAGGATAATTATATAAAATTATAAGATATAACGTGTATTTCTCCTCTCACCTCATTCCAACAAAGAAACTTCATTTAATTCCTCTTCAAATCCTCCCATTTGAAAGAAACACGGTCCGCATTTGTTTCTTCGTCCACTTAAATAATACATTATTTCAAACAAACACAACTTTAGAGTAACTTTTGGAGATTGTTATTTACATTTTTTATGATCATGAAGTCACTGAATGAATTACCGAATAAATAGACCAGATCTGGATGCAATTGTTGCTCTGCGACGATACTGACTCGACCCGCTCCTACCCACCCCGAGGCACCATAGCATGTCAAGAATAAGGGGGACATACAGGACATAACCACTCTTTTAGGAGCAGTTATGTCGTCCTACCTTTCAATAGATATACGGTTGAGTAGATCGATCACGAATGCTAAAGGGAGAATCAATTTTCACTTCATTATGTCTACCGAAAATTGATTCTCTCATTAGAGGATAATCGATTCTCTTTTAAAGAGAATCGATTATCTGTAATTACAATTTGTTTTTAACCATGCATGTTGCCTCTCCTTCTACACTTATCTCTTAGAGGCACATCCCAATGACATCGAACAATAACATCAACCAAAAATCTCTACAACAAAAGAATTTTGCATGCATGCACCTCTGTTATGCACATCTTTCATCCAAATAGTAAAAGCTGAAAAGAGGATAATTATATAAAATTATAAGATATAACATTATTTCTCCTCTCATCTCATTACAACAAAGAAACTTCATCTAATTCCTCTTCAAATCCTCCCATTTGAAAGAAACACGGTTCGCATTTGTTTCTTCATCCACTTAAATAATACATCATTTCAAACAAACACAACTTTAGAGTAATTTTTGGAGATTGTTATTTATATTTTGTATGATTGTGAAGTCACTGGATGAATTATCGAATAAATAGACCAGATCTGGACGCAATTGTTGCTCCGCGATGATACGGACCGGACCCGCTCCTACCCACACCGAGGCACCATAGCATGTCGAGAATAAGAGGGACATACTGGACGTAACCACTCTTTTAGGAGTAGTTATGCTGCCTTGCCTTTCAATAGATATACGGTTAAGTAGATCGATCACGAATGCTAGAGGGAGAATTAATTTTCACTTCATTATGTCTATCAGAAATTGATTCTCTCATTAGAGGATGATCAATTCTCTTTTATCGAGAATTGATTATCTGTAACTACAATTTGTTTTTAACCATGCATGTTGTCTCTCCTTCTACACTTATCTCTTAGAGGTACATCCCAATGACATTGAACAATAACATCAACCAAAAATCTCTGCTACAAAAGAATTTTGCATGCATGCACCTCTATTATGCACCTCTATCATCCAAATAGTAAAAACTAAAAAGAGGATAATTATATAATATTATAAGATATAACGTGTATTTCTCCTCTCATCTCATTCCAGCAAAGAAACTTCATCTAATTCCTCTTCAAATCCTCCCATTTGAAAGAAACATGATCCGCATTTGTTTCTTCATCCACTTAAATAATACATCATTTCAAACAAACACAACTTTAGAGTAACTTTTGGAGATTGTTATTTACATTTTTGATGATCGTGAAGTCACTGGATGAATTCCCAAATAAATAGACCAGATCTGGATGTAATTGTTGCTCTATGACGATACGGACTCGACCCACTCCTACCCACCCTGAGGCACCATAGCATGTCGAGAATAAGGGGGACATACTAGACGTAACCACTCTTTCAGGAGAAATTATGCCGCCTTGCCTTTCAATAGATATATGGTTGAGTAGATCGATCATGAATGCTAGAGGAAGAATCAATTTTTACTTCAATATATCTACCGAAAATTGATTCTCTCATTAGAGGATAATCGATTCTCTTTTCTGTAAGTATAATTTGTTTTTAATCATGGATGTTATCTCTTCTTCTACACTTATCTTTTAGAGATACATCCCAATAACATCGAACAATAACATTAGCAAAAAATCTCTTATACAAAAAAATTTTACATGCATGCACATCTTTCATCCCAATAGTAAAATCTAAAAAGAGGATAATTATATAAAATTATAAAATATATCATATATTTCTCCTCTTATCTCATCCTAATAAGGAAACTTCATCTAATTCCTCTTCAAGTTCTCCCATTTGAAAGAAATAGGGTCCACATTTATTTCTTGTCCACTTAAACAATACATCATTTAAAACAAAGACAACTCAGAGAGTTACTTTTGGATATTGTGATTTACATTTTAAATATGCTCTGCACCCTCTTGACTAAATCTCGTAAAATTCGCGGGAAGCAAAAGTTGCGAAGATGGGAATATTGGAATTTAGGAATAGTAGGACCCAACTTGTTTTAGACTTATTAGTCTAATTTTATGGACTTGGATAAAATATTTATAGTTTTAAACATTAACAATTTTAAATTTAAATTATTTTTAATTTAAAATATTACAAATTTTAAATATTTTGATTGGATAAAATATTTTAATTATCATTATGTATAAGAATTTATTTTAATCTTAAATAATATTGAATAATATTAGTTAGTGATGTTTATAGTTGATATTAATCAAAATTATTATGAAGAAATTTTGTAACTTACATATAAAAAGATTTTTTTTCTTCATTTATATTGCATTTTTATTTTTGATTTCAAACATTCCTAATATTTTAAGTAATTTATTATAATTATGATAAAGTTTGAAACTTTTTTACACGTTTAGTGAATCATTTACAAAGTAATTTTGATTAGAAACTATTAAACGTTATTGTTTGAAAATCTCCTTCACTCACCCCAAATTAATTGGAAAAAACTATTTTCACACCATATTTTATAAACAACTCCCTAAACATCTGATTTTAATATTATAACAATAATTTTAGGGAGAATTAAAATTGTTTGTCGGAGTGTCAATATATCACCACTCAATTTAATTTAATGAACTTAAACATTCACCGTACTTCAGCTAGTACATTGCTCAGGTCAAATTCTATGATTATAATTATAATATAAAAAGAGAAGAAAACTTATTTGCATCATATAACTAATGTAAATGCCAGATATGCCCTTGGTAAAGTTTAAACCCATCCTGCAGCCAATGAATTCGAAATAGTAAACTATCGAAGTTTCGTAAATTCCGTATACAGCATTCCAAAGATAACGTATTATTATCAAATTAACAAACGTTTGAAATGTTCTACAACAAAATCATTATTATGAGACAAACATGTTTTGTAAGCATAAGAATTTAAACGGCACTTGGGGATGAACCACTTGTTCATCAGGTTACTGTTTCACTAATACCCAAAATAAGACACCCCTTGAAGACCACACCACTGTCACTTTCCTCTAATGAACTTCATGACAAGCTAAAATATCTGGTGTGTTAATAATTTCAAAGTGATAAATCCTACGATCAAGCTGTTAAATTAATTTAAATGCTTCTACCAAAAATAAGCGTACCTTTAAGAATCCAATTATAGCATTTGTTGTCTGGAATTATTATTTTTAGAAAATAACATATTGTGAACATGCAATCATTACACCACATATTATATTGGTCGTTATCTAAACACTCACCTGTCATAAGGATATTTGCAAATGCCTGTTATGACCCATCGTATAGATGATAAAAACTAGCCTTTCCTAAAATCAAAATTCCTTTGACAATTAACATAGCTTACCTCTTTAAATGGTAATGTATCTCAACGATCACGTGTCCTCAGAGGGCAATGTTCCAAGGCAAGAAGGGCTATTGCAAAAGCATGGCAAACCATTTGGCCTTTTCCTGATTTCTCCATAGCTAAAAGTAAGCTCTTCATCTACTTGGATATCTTTTGAAGCAAAGAAGCATAGGCGGGGGAACAAAGATCCTGAAATTCTAACTAGCTTTGTGCTCAAATTACCACCGTCACATGAATGATTCACAAACCGTGCAATGTTTCCTATTCTTGTCGCATCGATATTCAATCTCAGACATGCCTTTCCAGAAGGAAGATGTTCCCTTACAACTAAAAGAGCAGAAGAGAAACGACCCTGCGAAGCCAGTTCATCATAGTATTGATGTCTCCTCTGGGCTTCCTTGGTTGTCAAGAGTTCACCTTTTATTACACAGGAAACCATGATTTAACAGTGAAAACTCCCATATAATTGAAGGAAAGGTTAAAACCATGATTCAACGTGTAGAATCATACAATTCTAATTGCAAATGTGGCTAGAACAATTGCAATCCCAGCAGAAAACTTGTCTTGGGATCATAAAAACCCAAATGAAGATAAGAAGAAGCCCAGGCTCAAAAGAAAAGACCAAACTTCTATGTACACAAAAGTTGGTACAAGAAATATTGAAGAGTCGGCTCACTAAGGCTTTGTTTGGTTGGAGTGATTTGAGAGAGTGGAAATGAGAGTGGAAAAGGAGGGATTTGAAGAGAAATGGAGATGAATAGAATGTTTATGGGAAATTGTGAATGATTTGATTGATATGAGATATAAAAATTATAATTTTATGTTGATTATTTAAAAAAATTACCATTTTACCCTTTGTATAAAATAAGGTTCAAATGATTATAAATATAAATTTTTAATTAATTATCCATATTTTAACATTGATTATATATTTAAAAGAAAAAAAAATTAAAAGTGTTTGTAATTGGAAACAAATTTAAAAAATTAACTTTTTTAGATAGTTATTAAAAATTATATAAATAAACAATTACAAAATTATGTACATTGCATATCCATATTTAAATAATGTTGGCATATTAAATAAATTATTTGACTAATAATTAAATAATTATAAACTATAAAATAATAATTAATATTGATCTGATAATAACAAATAATTATGAAAACTAATAATATAATTGTACATTATTATTTAAAACAAATATAAAATACAATTGAAAATAGAATAATAATTAAATGAAACATTACTAAAATTTTAAACCTATGCACACTAATGCTCTTCAAACAAATAATTATAATGTTATTCATCTTTTGCACTCAAATCCTCCAGGTTCAGATCATTCAATCACTTCCACTCAAGAACATGAACAAGCTGGGAGAAGCGAAGATGTCCCATATATCTGACTCCGAATGTTGAAATGTTTATGATCGTCTCATCACATTAACTTGAGATAAAATAATTACAATATAATTTTCTACTTTGAGAATTAATAATATAATTAAACATCAAAATTGAGAATACTCTTATACATTTTGAACTCTTTTGGATAAATTTTGTTTCCCTAATTTTTGATAAAGTTAATTTTAATATTTAAAATTATTTAACATTTTGAATTCCGAAAGGTTTTGTCTAATAGCAAATTTAAAAACATAATATTCAAAAAAATATTTTAAGATTCGGGTTGTATTTAGCTCGAGCGACTATACTCGCACGAGCGAAATACCATCCTGATCGATCATAATGTGAAATGATCGATCATAATTGGAGGATATAATAGCGGTTCCTCATGCATCAGCTATCTAAAGTGTATATTAGATAGCGGTTAAGGTTTAACCGCTATTATAAGGTGCTAGGTTGTGTTTAGCTTGAGCGACTATATCTCGCTCGAGCGAAATTTAATTATGATCGATCATAACGTGAAATGATCGATCATAATGGAGGATATAATAGCGGCTCCTCTGTAACCGCTATCTAAAGTGTATATTAGATAGCGGTTAAGGTTTAACCGCTATTATAAGCTCCTTTTAAGAACCTTGTTGCGTCTGGGGTTGTGCTTCGCTTGAGCGACTATATCTCGCTCGAGCGAAATTTGATTCTGATCGATCATAACGTGAAATGATCGATCATAATTGGAGGATATAATAGCGGTTCCTCTGTAACCGCTATCTAAAGTGTATATTAGATAGCGGTTAAGGCTTAACCGCTATTAGAAGTGCTGTTATAATAGCAGTTAAGATTTAACCGCTATCATATATTGCAGGGTAACTGCGACTTTTCATTACTTTCATCTCTTTTCTTCGCACCTCAGCGAAGAAACTCTCTCTCTCATCTCCCCCTTTTCCTCGCCTGCATTTCGTCGCAAATCAGTTCAACCAAACGTGTGTGAATGTGGTGTTTCTGTCTTCGTGAATAGTATTTCGTCGCAAATCAGTTCAAACAAACACAGCATAAGAGAGATGATGCTCACCAAAAGGAATGCAAATGAAGAATCAGTTTCAGGCTTGATGCCACCAGTTGCAAAGAAGGGTAATGCCATTCCCATTGCAGCAATGGGTGCTCTCAAGATTTTGAGAGGTAAATTCAGTCCCATCCCAGATCATAGGAGCAGGTCCAAATTTTTGCTGAGTTAACTTTGTTATGTTATTTTCTTGGTTTGGGCCACGCTTCAAGCTACTGGTACCTTGTTTATCACTTTTATGTGGTAGAAGATGATTACAAAATGTTTCATATATCTTCCTAGTAATCTAATACCCCCACCCCAAATAAAACAGGACAAATTTCAAAATCTACTATGCAGACATTCATAATCTTATTCACAAACTTCGTCACGGTTTTCAAATTTCTGTTCAGTAAGCAATGAAAATTACGAAGATCATCATGTAAGAAACTAAACAAAGATTCTCCTAATGGTTTCTCTATTTTTAAAGCAGGTATGTTATTAAGCTTCCACAATATACACAGCATTTTCCCCTCCTACTCCTACTCAAATGATTCTGCATATTGAACCATGATTTTAGCAACCTTGTTCTCACTGCCAATTGAGCTAATGCTATGAAATCAAAGTAACTTGTATTGATGAAAATTCCACTTACAACTAAAATATAAACTCACTTAGGCAATCAACACTCTCCCAGCACCTATTTTCTCCATTCCTAAGAGTGCAACCAAGACATTGCATGATTTACCAAGTCAGTTACCACAACTTTATCACATTAACATTACAATTAAGTGTATAAAAATAATATATACTAAAAACAATCATTGAAGTTGGTATCATCTTTGTGTATTAGATTAGAAGAATAAATTACCTGCATACTCAAACACAAACTCCCCTTTCCCAATGAACTGATCCGCGTGCAACCCCCATCCTTTCCTCCAACCCCTCACAATCTTCACCCTGACCGCCACGCCATTCCGCGTCAAGCGGTTCCCGCACTCGGGCCCACACCGGCACCCGGGCCCGCACTCTCTGCCAACGTCATCCAGCCCATCCAGGCTTGCACAAGGACAATCAGCGCTGGCACACACCTCGCACTCGCAGCCCGACACGGCCCGGCCCGCGCCATCGACGAAGCCCACAGACTCCGCACGATGAAGGCCACACTGCGCGGAGGGAGAAAATACTGAAGAGCCCCAGGGCTGGCGCGGGAGGGGGAGCGGGGAGGGGAGTAGGAGAGAGCGCGTGTAGAGGAAGGGCGCGTAGGGGTGGGGATCGACCGCGTTGAGGAACGGGATCGGAAGGGTCTCGAAAGTTCTGGAAGCGTCGGAGGCGCGGCGGTGGGTGATGGTGTGGGAGTGTTCGAGGAGAGGTTTGCAGGTGAGAGAGACGTTGGCGAGTTCGGAAGGGTTAAGATAGGGTAGCACAAGCTCTGCAAATTGAACCAGAGGAGGAGGAGGCTCTCTCGCTTTGCAGCTTTTCATGGCAATACTTTCTTCCGCCCGTGAGTGTACTTACATGAATGTCTCTCGTCTAATAACAAGATGCAATCTTTATGGTTTATAAGTGGATTTTCTGGAGAGGAAAAAAAATTTTAAGACAGGAATATAAGAGAATAGTGAATAGTGAAAAAAATTTGAAAGAGAATGAAAAGAAAAATTGTTTGAATTAACAAAATAAAGATAGAAAGTGAAGAAAATGAGGGAAAAGAGTATTGATGATCAAATTAAATAAATAAATTGAAACAATAAGTTAAAGTATGTAATAATTAAAATATATTAGGGATTGGACAGTAAAAAAATGAGAAAGAGAATGAAAAATGAATGTTTGGATTGAATAAAAAGTTAAAAAAAATGTTAAAGATGATATTAATGTGATTGAATAAAAAAATTAAAATAATATTTTAAAGTATGTAATAACTAAAATAATTTTATATTAATAAAAGATAAAATAAATATAAATTAAAATTGTGATATAATTAATTTAAATTAATTAATTTCTATTATATAATGGTGAGATATATTAAAATTATTTTATATATAAAATATAAAAATAATTTGTGATATTTATAAGAATATTTAAAATTGTTTGATTTATTATCTTAATATTAATTTATAAATTTTATTAAAATCGTAAAAAACATAAAATATAATATATAATATTTAAATAGTAAAAAAATAAACTACAATGTACCTATAGAATATACTGTCATCTCAAAAAATTAAAGTTATTTAAAGTTATATTTGAATAAAAAGCTACATTAATAATTAATAAAATATAATTATCTAAAAAAATCAATTATCTAAATAAAATTATAGTAATTCAAAATAAAAACTAAAGAAAAATAAATTATAATATCTAAAAAAAATACAATAATACAAAAAAATATATAATCATCCAAAATAAAAAAAATACATCTGAAATAAAAAAAGTACAATCATAAAAAAAAAACTTAAATAAAAATTTAAATAGGGAGATAATCTAATGACATGAATAAAATATCTACTCAAGACTTTCACAAATATGATCAATTAAGTTTTCAACATAATCAATCCTATGATGTACATAATTATTCTCTCGTTGAGGACTCTAATAATTATTCTCAACATTAACTTTGCATATCCTGAATAATTTAATTATGGTATCAGCGTAATGGGGAAGATATACTTGTTATCCTTGAGCGAGTGCTTGTGCTTGTTCGACCCTCACATCTTCATTGGAAAGGTGATTTTGCTCAAGATCAGGTTAATGTACATGTGACCCCTACCATGTTGTCATGCACCATCTAAATTTACGATATTCAACTTTTTCAAAGATCTCTCACTAAATCTATTTGTCCATCTCTGGGAGTGACTTGACTATAAAGTCAAGTTCAAGTCACAATACAATAGAATACGAGTGATTAGAAGACTATAAGGTAGAGACAAACAATTAGCCTTACATTTTCTCATATGTTTGATGATATAATGAAGTCAATTAATCGGAATATGATTCTTTATGCAGCACATCATAAATATATTATCTTGTAAGACTTGAGCATAATTGCCTCATTGAGGACTAAGAATATGAATGAACACATAATGTAAAAGTTTGTCCTTCACGGTTAAACTACCGGCATTCCTACAACTTCATACTTGTAGTTCCGGCTAATCATTACAGTCAATGTCTCATCTTTATCGTATCCCAAGTTTTCAGGGATGCCAGCAAGATCGATCTAACGACCCTAATATTTTAAATGAGTCAGATTTAGCCAATCATCAGGTTTTATCCTTGTTTGCGTCTATAACACCTTAGTTACTAGGTCATCAGAGTTCATCAATTTTAAATTTGTCTAAAAGACTTTTGTGAGGTCTTGATAGATGTCGTACTCGGTCAAATAATTAAAACAGATAAATGTAGTACTAGAAAGTTTTCCTAGGTCGTCTCCCAAAGACCACGAATTTCTATCAAAGCTTATCAATTTTTAGTAACAAAAAATAAAAAGGGGAGTTTTTCAAAATTAAAATATTAGATGAAACAGAACAAAAGCATATTATAAAAATGCGGATTAAAAACAAATTAAAATGCAATTGATTTCCTGATTCTAATGCAGTGTCACTTATCCTAGATTACGAAATTAATTCGAAACTAACCAACTAAGCGAAGATAAATCCCAAATTATATTCTAATTCGAAATTAATCAACTAAGCGAAGATTAATCTCAAATTAGCTTTAACCCTTGTTGAAATATGAAATTAACCAACTAAGCGAAGATTAATCCCAAATTTTCCTTAACCCTTATTCCAACATGAAATTAACCAACTAATCGAAGATTAACCCCAAATTATCCTTATGAAATTAAGCATTGCATACATCACATAATCTCATCTCTAACATAGAATTAAGCAAACTGTGATATTAGTTTTGGTTTATTAAGCATAAACAGATTATAATTCAACACTGAGATTAGAAGATGAAGAGTTAAGAGAACATACAAAATGAAATTGAAGAACAAAACCTCAAAGATCTACTTACATTCTTCTCAGAAAATCAATACAAAGATTTAGCTATCCATAGAAAGTTGAAAACGCAATAGAAGAAACATAATTAAAATCGAAACAAGAATTTAAAAATAATGACAGAAGAGTAAACAAACTTGAATATAAATTGCAGAAGATGAAAGGTGGAAGTGTGGTGGCTGCGTAGTCCTTGTGTGATGTGTGTCTTCTGATGTGTGATGTGCCTCTCTTATATAAATAACCCTAACCCTAATCTTTATTGAGGTTTGGGCTCAACTGGTCCATGAAACACATCATAAGTTGGCTTTAGTGCAGGTCTGTGAACTTCAAACACGTGCAGTATTTTCAATACTTATCCAAATTAAGCGATTTCGGTATCGTTTGAAAGCCTTTTGAGTTAGCTTTAAAAAGCCACCATTGCTACTATTTTTGGAGGTCTAATGAATTTAGGAGACTTAAATTACTGAAGCATGTCCATTGGGCCGGCCTGGTGCGCTTGACCCGTGTTGGATAATTTATGTAAAATCCAATTTATCTCTGAATTGAATGATTTTGGATCCTATGGAAAGATGAATGTGTCTATTTTATAATTTTTTGAAAATAATGATTTTTGGAGATCTGTAGAAAAAATGATAAATCAAACAGTAAACCAATGTTAGTACCCGTATAGAATAAAATATGACATTTGACCCAATTTTCCAAGCCCAAAATTGCTTTAAACTGTAAAATGACATCTAGCACAATCTTCTAGGCCCAAAATTGCTTTAAATGTCCTAAAATTAATAATGAGAAAAAATTAGATCAAATAGATTTAAATTAATTAAAATCTAATTATTGGCCCAATGAAGCCCAATTAATAAAAATTCACTAATAATAGAAAGTTAAGCCCAAAACACTAATTAAAATAAGTTCAGAAAGGGAAGAAAATACGGGAATATAATGACTCATCAAATAACCCCACACTTATCCTTTTGCACTCCTGGGCAAAATCAAGAAGCAAAACAAGGAAATAAATTCAAAAACATTAAAGAAAATTATGCAAAGGACAAAAACAAAAATAAAGACAAACAAAAACATAAACTGATATACATATTCATCAAAGAAACCTAGGAAACGAAAGGAGTAGACAACATCCAACACACAAAGAGTTAAAGGAACCAGATACTCATGGAAATCATCCAAGCATTTCAAAACCTGGCAAGAGGTCAATCAGGTCAAAAGGTGAATCAAAGTGACAAAACCTCACAAGATGCACTGTATCTCTCATGTGTCTAGGCTACTGTATACTCTCAAAATACTCAAGAAAAGCAAACAATAGATAGACTTGACAAGCCTCTAAATTCAACACCCAACGCACATGCATAAAAAGATCAAAAGGTCTTTTCAGGTTGTAATGGGGGTAGGGACAAGGTAGAGGATATCATATGGGATAAGTAGCTCTGAACCAGAGGAACTAGAGGAGCAATGGGGAATAAGTCAAAAATAAGCACAAGATACATGCCCAAAAACCTCTAATATCAAACCTCCACTACTCGCCTTTACCTCAACCACAACTTTTATTTTTTTTCTTTTTTTTTATTTTCTCTCTCTCTTTTTTTTCTTTTGTTTTATATATATCCTTTTTTTTTAAACTACATGAAATACACTGAAAGGAAAACACAAAAACTGTACAGCAGAGATAACCAACTAGCCAGTACATCATCCAATGAAATACAAAATGCACCCCCACACTTATTCAATAACTTATTCCCAAAATAATTCCAAAGCTCCAAAAATCCCTAAGGTTAAGGTAATCATGGTTTTTCACTTAAGGCTTTTAATGAGCTTCAAAAGAAATAAAGGGAAACATAGGCTCAAAGGGGCTATCAAAGGAATTAATTCAAGGTAGGCTCATTTGGCTAGAGGCTAATCAGAACAAAAATGCCTTAATCATCTCCAAACATGCATGTGAATCAAGAAGTATCAATCAGAGTTAAGCCAAGGCTACTGCGCAAGCAATCAAGAGACATAACACTCAAGAAAGAACAGGTAGTGGCTCAATTCCTTACAAAGGGTAAGATTGTCGCCTTTAATTCAACCTCTCAAACATCGTAACCAACTTGACAAGCAGAGAAAAACAGGGATTTCAATCCAAAAAGCATAAAGCAACTCCTATTCCAAGAGTGAAGAAAGTGCCTACTACTATACAAAACCTAGAAATCAAAGAAAAATATGCAAAACTATACACAAAACATAGAATATAAACCTACAATCCTACATCTCCCACCCCACACATAAATTAGACATTGTCCTCCATATAAACACAATCATATCCATTAAACAAATAGGACAAGCAAGATAAAAGAGTTGAAGGGGAAAGAAGAACTCCCTAATCATGGTGGGTCTCGGATCTATCTCCTCAGATGGTACAGGTGTTGAGGTCATCAAGTAGCAACTTTGTTCCGCTAAAACAAACAAAGTCTTCCTCATCATGGTGATTCCTGGAT